CACGTTCAGAGTTACTATTGACAGATATGAGTTTAGTGTCATCATGATATCTATTTAGCCCTTGTTTTTGTGGATTGTTCCACTGAACTTCTTCTTAAAGGGGAGTTTTAAGAGTCCCCCTTAAAATTTCTTGCAGAGCTGGTTTGGAGGTCACATATTCTTTCAGTTCCTGCCTGTCTTGGAAGCTCTTTATCTCTCCTTCCATTTTGAATGAGAGCCTTGCTGGATAAAGTATTCTTGGTTGCATGTTCTTCTCATTTAGGACCCTGAATATATCCTGCCAGCCCTTTCTGGCCTGCCACGTCTCTGTGGAGAGGTCTGCTGTTACCCTAATATTCCTCCCCATGAAAGTCAGGGACTTCTTGTCTCTTGCTGCTTTAAGGATCTTCTCTTTATCTTTGGAATTTGCAAGCTTCACTATTAGATGTCGAGGTGTTGAACGGTTTTTATTGATTTTAGGGGGGGATCTCTCTATTTCCTGGATCTGAATGCCTGTTTCCCTTCCCAGATTGGGAAAGTTTTCAGCTAGGATTTGTTCAAATACATATTCTGGCCCTCTGGCCCTTTCGGCACCCTCGGGAACCCCAATTAAGCGTAGGTTTTTCTTCCTTAGACTGTCATTTATTTGCCTTAATCTGTCTTCATGGTCCCTTAATTGATTGTCTCTTTTTTCCTCAGTTTCCCTCTTTGCCATTAACTTGTCTTCTATGTCACTCACTCGTTCTTCCACCTCGTTAACCCTCGTCGTTAGGACTTCTAGTTTGGATTGCATCTCATTCAATTGATTTTTAATTTCTGCCTGATTGGATCTAAATTCTGCAGTCATGAAGTCTCGTGAGTCCTTAATGCTTTTTTCTAGAGCCACCAGTAGCTGTAGAATAGTGCTTCTGAATTGGCTTTCTGACATTGAAGTGTAATCCAGATTTTGTAACTCTGTGGGAGCGAGGGCTGTTTCTGATTCTTTCTTTTGAGGTGAGGTTTTCCTTCTAGTCATTTTGCTCAGTGCAGAGTGGCCAAAAACAAGTTGTATTGGAACACGGGGGAGTATCACTGGTCCGTCTAGCTGGTCTTCTGGGGGAGGGGCCTGCTGTGCTGATTTTCAGGTGTTAGCACTTGGGGGAGCTGCTCTGCCCCTGCCTGCTGCCGGGCTCAGCGGGGGTTGTTTACCCCGTTGGGCCCCAGGAGGATCAGCCGCAGTTGCTATGGCAACTCTGGAAGCCTGGATTTAGCCTCCGCAGGAACTACGGGGCTGGGGGCTCTCGGTTCTCTGTCCGCAGGGCCTGGAGGCTCCGGGGCGGGGCCGCTGAGCTGTCGTCCTCGCTGTCCTGGGCCCTCCCGGCCTCTGCCTGTCCCGGGGGAGGCCGGATCCTGGGCTGTGTCCCGGCGCCCTGTGCTCCGGGGCCTGCGCTGGTGGATTCGCGCTCCCGCCCCGCAGCTCCCTCCCTGGAGCCGCTCCCGAGCCCCTCCGAGCTGCTCCGGTCGGTCCCGCCGTGCGCGCTGCAGCCCTTAGGGAGCTCGTTGCACTCTCCCGGGGCGCAGGTGTCTGTTAGTGTCCCAGGGAGCCTGAGGGCATCCCCGCCCTCCTGGGTCCTGCTCCAACTCCCTGCGAGCCCCCGCCCGTGGGAAGGTTGGTGCAGCTCCTGCTTCTCCGGGACGGGGCTCTCCTGTCCTGGGGACACTCGCCCCGGCCTCAGCCCGGCTCCTCGCGGGGCCCCTCCCCCTTGGAGGCCTTTTGTTCCTTTATTTCTTTTTCCCCGTCTTCCTACCTTGATAGAAGCACGGACTCTTCTCACCGTAGCATTCCAGCTGGTCTCTCTTTACATCTCAGGCCGAATTCGTAAGTTTTCAGGATGGTTTGAAGGTTATCTAGGTAATTTGGTGGGGACAGGTGATTTGGGGACCCTGCTCTTCCGCCATCTTGCCCCTCCCTCCCTCGATACTTTATTTTTTAAAGAGCAGTTTTAGAATTACAACAAAATTGGGAGGAAGATACAGAGATTTCCCATATATTTCTGTCCCTTCATGTGAATATCTCTTTCTCATTATCAACATCACTCACCAGAGCAGTATCTTTGTTACTTAGAACAAACCACATTGATACATTATAATCACCTAAAGTGCATAGTTTACCTTGGGTTTCATTCTTGGTGTTGTGCAATCTGTGGGTTTGGACAAATGTATAATGGAATGTATTTATCATTATCATATTATACAGAGTATTTTTACTGTCCTGCCAATCCTCTGTGCTCTGCCTATTCTTTCCCCCAACCCACCCCTGGCAACCACTGATCTTTTTTGTTTTTTAAGATTTTATTTATTTATTCATGAAAGAGAGAGAGAGAGAGAGAGAGAGAGAGAGAGAGAGAAAGAGAGAAAGAGAAAGAGAGGGGCACAGACACAGGCAGATGGAGAAGCAGCCTCCATGCAGGGAGCCCGATGTGGAACTCGATCCCAAGACCCCAGGATCACGCCCTGGGCTGAAGGCAGACGCCTAACCACTGATCTTATTATTCTCTTCATAGTTTGGCCTTTTCCAGATGTTATATAAATTGGAATCATGGAGCATGTAGTCTTTTCAGACTGGCTTCTTTCCCTTAGTAATAGGAGTTTAAAGTTCCTCCATGTCTTTTGTGGCATGAATGCTCATTTTCTTTTAGTGCTAAATAATATTCCATTGTCTGTATGTATTACAGTTTGTCCATTCACCCACTGGAGGACATCTTGGTTGCTTCCAAGTTTTGACAGTTTTGAATAAAGCTGGTATAAACATCTGTGTGCAAGTTTTTGTGTGGGTATAAGTTTTCAACTCCTTTTGGTAAATACTAAGGAGCATAATTACTGGATTATATGGTAAAAGTATGTTTAGTTCGTAAGAAACTGCCAAACTGTCTTCCTAAGTGGTTTTGTAGTATTTTACATTCCACCAGCAGTGAATAAGTGTTTCTCCACATCCATAATAACATTCAATGTTGTCAGTGTTCTGGATTCTGGCCAGTTCTAATATATATTAGAACTTATTTTTGTTGTAATTTGCATTTCCCTGATGACATAATTTTAAGCATCTTTTTATATGCTTATTTGCTATGTTTGTGTCTTATATGGTGAGGTGTCTATTTAGGTCTCTGACTCATATTTTAGTTTGATGGCTTATTTTCTAATAGTTGAATTTTTAAAGTTCTTTCTGTATTTTGGATAACAATCCTTTATCAGATAAGTCTACTTGCAGATACTCTCTCCCAGTCTTGTTTTTTCATCCTCTTGACCGTGTCTTCCACAGAACAGTTAATATTAAGTTAGTGAAGTCAGCTTATTTGTTCTTTTATTGATGGATCATGCATTTGGTTTACATGTAAAGTCATTGCCAAACAGTCATCTAGATTCTCCTATGTTATCTTCTAGGCGTTTTCTAGTTTTGTATTTCACATTTACTAAGTTGGGTAGTATGAGTCCTTCATCTTTTTCTTCTTTAGTATTATGATGGCTATTCTGTGTCTTCTCTGTCTCTGTATGTTTAGAATCAGTTTGTGAGCATCTTCAAAATTTTGATCAGGTTTGCATTGAATCTATTGATTACATTGGAAGAGCTGACATTTTGGTAATAATGAATCTTCCTATTCATGAACATGGGAAATCTCTCTATTTAGTTATTTGATTTCTTTCACCAGAGGTCTGTAGTTTTCCTTATGTAGATTTTGTACATATTTTATTAGTTTTATACCTAAGTTTTCATATTTTTGGGTTCTAATGTAAATGGTATTAGACTTTTAATTTCGAATTCCACGTGTTTATTGCTGGTATATAGGAAAGTAATTTACTTTTGTTTATTAAACTTGTGTCCTACAATCTTGCCCTAATTATGCATTGGTTCCAATAATATTTTTGTTGATTCTTTCAGATTTTCTGCACAATTATACCTATGGTATAATAATCATAGTCCCCATTCTTTTGTACATATACATATATTATTTTAAGTCTCATTACTTTAGAAAGTTAGTATGACAATTTTAATACTTGTATGAAATTGCAGTTGAAAACGTGAAGTACAGAATTACATAATAATAGAATATAAGTCTATACAGAATCTTGTCATAATTCTAGAGAGTTTTGTTTTCTAAGATTTTATTTGTTTTAAAGAACACACAAAAGTGCAGGGGAGGGGAGAGGGGAGGGGCAGAGGGAGAGAAGAAGAACCTCAAGTAGACCCCCCCCCCCCCAGGGAGCAGGGAGCCCCACACAGGGCTCTCATGTCCTGAGCTGAAACCAAGAGTTTTATGTTCAACCTACTGAACCACCAGGTGTCCCTATTTTTTGGTGTCCCTACATTTGTTTTTAAATGTATTTTGGCCTAAATGGTATAGTTTTACTTTAAGTTTGGAGAAATGAATCACTTTCCTTTAATGTCATGATAATTCAGAGTCTAGATCCAAAAAATAGCTTGGGCCATCTTCATTATTTTAGTATATTCTTGTACAGATTAGAAAAGAAAATGGGATAATGGTATTTGATTCATGTTTAGTTTTATCCAGGATTCAATTCTTAAACTAAATGGTTTTGATGCCTCTGAGCCAACAAGACACATACTTTTTTTTAAAACTTCATATATTTGGTTCATCTTTGTTGTTTTGTTTGTTTATAGAAACTGAAAATTAAAATCGAAGTATAGACATTCAGGTCAAATAATAAATGACTTTTTAGTCCAAATTGCAATTCTGCCACCTAGTGTTTGCATATGGATTTTTAAAGAAACAATATTCCCCCTCTTTTTAGAACTGTTTGAGAATAATTCTTTCTTTCATCCTTAGCTTACAAATTTAATATGCTGTCAATAAAACCTATAAAAAGGGCATCCATCTTTATTAACCTTTTTAAGGAATTAGATTTTTAGTATCTTAAAGCTTATAAGTTGTTTATAAATTCATTGTATAAAATTTTGCTAAGTGTTTGCCAGTGATATTCACAGAATTCAGTTATGTAATGAATGAGTAATTTTACTTCCTTAGAGTCGAGGTGGAAAAAAGTTTCTTGCTGTACTGAAAGAAATCTTGGACAGGGATCCTTTGTCTCAACTTTGTGAGAATGAAATGGATCTTATATGGACTTTGAGACAAGATTGCAGAGAGAATTTTCCACAGTCACTGCCAAAATTACTGCTGTCGATCAAGTGGAATAAGCTTGAGGATGTTGCTCAGGTAACAAAAGATAATTTTTGTATTTTGTGATTCATTTTGGGAGTATATATTACTTTGTTGATTTCATGTAAAATGGAACCTATATCTCCATAGGTTGGATAATTTTCTATAGGAGAAATTTTCAGGTTTTAAATTTTACATGTAAATTCTACATTACATGATAGACAGTTTTAGATTTTAAAATCCCAGATACTAGATAGGTTTTTTTCGTATCTTTCAATAAGAACGATTAAAACATGGCTTGTGGTGTAATTATCTATAATCCCTGCCTGGATGTAGTAGGTTCTGGATTTTTTCTAACAGTTTTATCAATGAGCCCCAAAGTTTTAATCTTAAAATAACTTTAATCTTTGCAATGAGGGATTATATGACTATCCTTTTTTTTTTTTTAAAGACTTTACTTATTTTTTTTTAAATTTTTATTTATTTATGATAGTCACAGAGAGAGAGAGAGAGAGAGGCAGAGACACAGGCAGAGGGAGAAGCAGGCTCCATGCACCGGGAGCCCGATGTGGGATTCGATCCCGGGTCTCCAGGATCGCGCCCTGGGCCAAAGGCAGGCGCCAAACCGCTGCGCCACCCAGGGATCCCACTCTGTGACTATCATAAATAAATAAAATAAAAAATTAAAAAAAAATATTTGCAATGACTGTTATAAAATCAATAGGTATTGTTTGAAAATTACCTGTTTCTAGAAGCTAATACTTTAGATAATAAACCTTTTCAATCAGTTTTAACATTCATTTTAGTTGGGCAGTGTTGATGAATGTTTGCCTTTAGGTAGAATAAAGAAAAGGAAAAAAAAGTATTCTAAAAAAACCCGCCAGATTTTAACTCCTTGATACAGTTTTCAGAGTCCTATCAAGAAGCACTGGCATTTATTAAATCCAGTTGGTTATCAGTGTTCTACAGAAAGGTCCTTGATGTTCTTTTTAAATCAGAACAAATACATTTGGCATTTTAAAATAACTAAATTTGTTCACCTTGTTTGAATTTAGCGGATAGTTTAAAGTTTCCTGGTCTTGAGATGCCTGGGTGGCTGGGTTGAATGTCTGCCTTCACCTCAGGGCATGATCCTGGGTCCTGGGATGGAGTCCCACATCACATCAGCCTCCCCCACAGGGGGCCTCCTTCTCCCTCTGTCTGTGTCTGTGCCTCTCTCATGAATAAATAAATAAAATCTTTAAAAAAAAACGTTTTCTGGTCTTAGTAAATCTATAATGACATTTTAAAAATTTATTTAAATTTTAATTCCAATATAGTTAGCATACAGTGTTATATATGTGTGAAATCTGTAAGACTTTAAAAAAATTCAAGGAATGCATATTTATTTATATATTTATATACATTTAAAATTTATTTTATTTTACTTCTGTCAGCTTAGGACTTCTTTTGAGTTTATTTCTATTTTTTAACAATTTTTTGAATCATGTTACATAATTATAATGTGCCTCATTTAGACTGTTTTTGCAGTTAGCCATATGAACATTACTTACTCTGAAAAGGAACTATTTCTGTATAGGTTTTAGCAGCCACTTATTTCCCTAAATTCAAGGTTAGTCTTCTATGAACTCCCATAATGGTAGAATATAAGCATTTTTTAGTTGGCATGTTTGCCTGCTTCTAGTGGATAATGTCCAGTTCTAACTGCTTATCCAAGAAATGCATCATATTATTATTTTGTATGTAATTAGAAGAAATTTCTTGCTGTACTTTTAAAAGATATCTAAAAGAGAGGTTATGTTAGGTGTCAGAAGATGGAATGAAGGGTACCTAGGTGGCTCAGTTTGTTAAGCCACCGACTTTTGGTTTTGGCTCAGGTGATCTCATGGGTTATAAGATCTAGCTGGGCTTCAGACTATATGCCAAGCAGCCATTCAGCTTGAGGACTCTCCCTCTGACCTCTCCCACTAGCACGCACGCACATGCATGTTCTCTCACTCTCTGAAATCTTTAAAAAAAAAAAAAAAGAATGGGCTAATTTTCCATTAATATTTCTTTCCTTTTTAAAGATTTATTTATTTTAGAGAAAGAGAGAGAGAGAGAGTGCGAGCAAGTAATTGGAGGGATCTGGGTGGGGGGGAGAGAATCCTTAAGCAGACTCTCCACTAAGGGCAGAGCCCCATGTGGGGCTCGATACCAGGACCCAGGGATCATGACCTGAGCCAAAACCAAGAGTCAGCACTTAATCAGCTGAGTCACCCAGGCACCCCTCATATTTCTTTATTTGAACTCTGGGGACAGAAAACTTTTACATTTAGGAATTTAACACACTTATCTCATTTCCAGGAGATAACTTTTAAGAGTTATTTTCAGATATAAACAAACATTCTCCATTTTGATAGAAGAAAGCCAGTCCTAATCCTCTTTTTTTTTTTTTTTTTTTTTTTTTTTTTAGTGTCTAGAGAAGAAACGTTGATGGAATAAAAAGTAATGTGTTTTGCTTTCCCAACTCTGTCCCATTGCTAGTTACAGTGAATGGGTACAAAAGATTGAATATAAACTATATTTTTAATAAATTGACTCTACCTTAAGAAGTAGAGAGCCAGAAGTCTGTTAAAGATTTGTATTCTGATTCTAGAGGCCTAAGCCATGGGTAAAAATTCTATAGAAGAGTAGCTTTTCCCTCTCACCACCACCCCAGGGGGAAAAAAAAGAAGAGTAGCCCTCCCTTAATCCACAGGAAAATACTCTGTTGGCATAATGTGAAAGGGGTTTCAATAGTCTTTGCAGAAGGCATGGGTTGGTTAACACTGCTTTCACGGTTTATATGGCTGAGTCAGATTTCCCTGTTCACTTCCATAGCTTTTCCCAAACTAAAGTAGTGAGTTTTGATATTTTATTTAGCTTTACATTCATTCATTCATTCATTGAAATAGTTTTACATTTATTTATTAATTTTATATTAATGCTTTAATAATTGTAAGTGAACTTTTTGTTTTTTTAATTGTAAGTAAACTTAATAGAGGTAGCTTCTTTCCAATAATAGGGGAGGTTTTAACTCACAGCATAGTTAAACTTTCTAGTATTACTGAATGTTATCTACCCTTTTCAGTATTGTTTTTGTGTAACAATGTATTCCGTATTCCATGTGCTAACTAGAAATTGGGAAATGGTCTGTTCCCCCCCCCCACCAATTCTTCTACCCATAATGGGGATTGCTCGCCCATTAGGATCTTGGTCAAAGTGGGGAGGGAGTCCCATCTGTGATAAAAAAAAAAAGTGCTATGGGGTAGGTGTTTCCTATCTTTAGACCAGTATTTGTTAACTTTTTTCATTACTACACTTGTTAGGAGCCGCTGTACCCGCCCCCCGCCCCCATCTTATTTATTTATTTATTTATTTATTTATTTATTTATTTATTTATTTGAGAGAGAGAGAGAGAATGAGAGAGAGAGAATGAACTCTGGAACATGAACAGGAGGTAGGGGCAGAGAAAGAGAGAGAAGCAGACTCCCCAACTGAGCAGGGAGCCTGATACGATATTGGGTTCTATGATATGGGGTGTTGTCCCAGGACGCTGGGGTCAGGACCTGAGCCACAGGCAGATGCTTAAGCAACTCAGCCACCCAGGCATCTCTGTTAGGAGCCATTTCAGACTTTTTTTCTCTAATAGCCCCATTGCCATGATATTTTTATACCATAGGTAAGTATGTGTCTTTTTATGTACTGTACGCATATGTGTGCTATATACATAAAACGAGCAAGTATAAAGCCTATTTTTATTTATGCAAGTTTAAGAATAATTAAGATCTTAAGGTAAAAGTTGAAAAACTAACATTTTAGTATATTTAAATAACTTATGTAATTATCTAATTGTAATACCAAATTTCATATGATGTTAGCAGTTTATGTATGTTTATGTAAATGTGTAGTAATAGCAATATAATCAAATTTTAAAAAGTTATTCAAAAGTATTCTGCAAATGTAAAGTAATAGAAAAATGAATTTCTTTAAAAGTATCTTTAGTGAGGTTAAAATTGCTTCATACTTTTTAACATACTTTTTAACTTAGCTTCTAGATATTCATTCAAGTATTATTGACCTATTTTCCATTTGACATAATTAATGAGAGGGGTTGAAAAATTAGAATTAAAATAATATAACTTATTTTTATTTAGTTCTTAAACCCTAAGTCTCACATAACTTAAATGACAACAAGGCAGCTAGGCAGTAAATACTCTCTGGCTACTTCTTGCAGTATGACTGTGAAAATGGCAGTCAGTTGAGAGAAGTCCTTCAGTCATTGCCATCTGTTTGCCATATTTTTTTTGTTTTGATGTTGCATACATTTTGTGTGTCGTCTTTAGATTCAAGGTGCTACTTATGTGATACCCAATATCACACATATATTATGTGATAATACTTATCAGATATTAAGGAATATGATTTTATCAGGTAGGGTTGAACTTAGCCACAAATCATAATTATAAAAAAAAATTTTTTTTTTTGCTCTCTTGCAAAACCACTTTTCTTCTCATTTAACTATCCCTGATAAGAATATGTACTATAAACATAACTAACCTTGAGGAGGCAGTGACTTTTTTTGCCTGGAGCAACGTTGTGAGATGAGTCTCACAGTGCTCTGATGGGAGACAGGTAAGAATTCTTTCTAGGTATTTGGGTTCTCTGGAGCTAAGGTTTCCAAAGATGTGACCATGTCTGCTAGAATCCACCCTCTACCTGCAGTTCCACCTCATCCCCATGGAGGGATTCTTCTTTATTCTGTCTAGATCATTTCTATGTGACATTTATAAATAGTAGACTGGCTATATTTACTTTGTTTATAGAAAATAAACTTTTTCCTTTTTAAAGATTTTATTTATTTAAAAAAGAGAGAGAGAGCACAGTGAGAAGGAGCACAGGGAGAGGTTAAAGCAGGCTCCCCTCTGAGCAGGGAGCTGGATGCGGGGTGCAATCCCAGGACCCTGGGATCACGACCTGAGCTGAAGGCAGATGCCCAACTGACTGAGCCACCTGGGGCCCCTAAACTATTTCTTTTTAGTCATTTATTGTGATTTAAAGGTTTTAAACATATATGGTCAATAAAAAAAAATTATGTTAAGTGATGGATATTCTTAAAAATATTGAGAACTAAAAGTAAGGTCCCCCCTAAATAATTTTATGTTGAGTTATTAATGAACTCTTTTTATATGTAAATTAGCTATCATTAGCTTGGGTGTTACAGCTTATATTTGTACTTTGAATTTTACCTTTAAATATTTCTTGATCATTTCTCTTTCTTCCTTTAAAAAATTATTAAATGGTAATGATTGTAGAATTGTTATATTCAGTGTATCATTCTATTCCCAGGTAAGTACTTCATAGCTTTTTAAACTTGCTTATCTATAGAATATTTCAACAAAGACAGTCTTTATTAGTCCATGTTAATAAGAGTAGATTTTTGAGGCCTCAGCAATTGTACATATGCTTTTCTTTTGACCCATCTTTTGCCAAGAAAAAATAGATTATTTTTCTCCTCTATAATTTCTGAACCAGTTTTAATTTTTCAACAGCTTCAGGCACTACTTCAGATTTGGCCTAAACTGCCCCCCCGGGAGGCCTTAGAGCTTCTAGATTTCAACTATCCAGATCAGTACGTGCGAGAATATGCTGTGGGCTGCCTGCGACAGATGAGGTATTCTGCAGGTGGCTTTCTTGGGGAAAAGGAATAACGTGGGGGTAGATAGAAAAGGTGATATCTGCTTGAATGTTGATAAGAAAGGAAAGAGCTAGGAATTATTCAGAGTTAAAAGCATTTTTCCCCCCTCTCTCCCTATATTCCTCCCTCCACCTTGCTCTCTTCTTCCTTCCTCTTTCATGTTTACTCTCTATTTTAAAACAAAACCCAGGGGCAGCCCAGGTGGCTCAGCAGTTTAGCGCCACCTTTGGCCCAGGGTGTGATTCTGGAGACCCGGGATTGAGTCCCACGTCGGGCTCCCTGCATGGAGCCTGCTTCTCCCTCTGCCTGTGTCTCTTATCTCTCATTCTGTCTGTGTCTCTCATGAATAAATAAATAAAATCTTAAAAAAAAACCAAAAAACAAAAGCAAAACCCAGAGACACACAACCAAGATCGCCCTTGGCTTCCATGATTCATTAGAATTCACAGAACTCACATATATTCATACTTTTGGCTATGATTTATTATAGCAAAAGGAGACCATGTAGAATTGGTAAAGGAAAAAGATTAATGGAGCAAAGACTGGAGAAAACTATGCAGGAGCTTCTAAGAGTTCTTTACCAGCGGAATCACAGTGAATATGCTTAATTCCCTCAGCAACAAGTAGTAACATGTCTGAAATGTTGTCTACTGGGGACAATCCTCAGAGATTTGGTGGCTAGAGTTTTTATTGGGGGCTAGTTACAGAATCACCCTCTGCTTAACACAAAAGCAAAATTCTAGACTCCCAGAAAGAAGATGGATGTTGAGCATAAACCATACTGTTTTTGAGAACAATTTACCCATGCAAAGCCATTCTTACCTGTTAGGTGGTGAGAAGCCTTCTGAAATCCTTGTTTCCAGATGCAGGCTAAAAGGCCAGTGTTGTAAACAGGCTTTTTTTTAAGGGATAACATTCAGGCCTGCTGTTATGTTAACTCTTTTCTGTCTATCACTCAGAATTAAGAAATGTTAATATTTTGTCATTTTTTAATACTTTTAAGCAAATAGCATTATAGCAAAAGCTGAAGTCCTCATAGTTTTTTTTTTTACCTAATCCTGATTGCTTTCACTTCCCAAAAACAATCATTATCATGCATTTGACCATGTATCCTTTTATACCACATTTTTCTGTTTATACTATATTTTATAACTATAAAAATATAGAGAGGGCAGCCTGGGTGACTCAGCGGTTTAGCGCCGCCGTCAGCCCAGGGCCTGATCCTGAGACCCGGGATCGAGTCCCACGTCGGGCTCCCTGCATGGAGCCTGTTTCTCCCTCTGTCTGTGTCTCTGCCTTTCTCTCTCCCTGTTTCTCATTAATAACTAAATAAAGTTTTTTTTTAAAAAATAGGGTAACACTGTACATTTAGAAATTACACTGATATGTCTTACCATATGTATTATTTTAAATCTTTTTAAAAATTCAGCATAGGTTTTTGAGGTCATTCTCTCTAATTACATATAAATATAGTTCATTCCCTTCACTACTCTGAAATATTCTTTCATAGGGATATATCTTATTTACTCCATATTGAGGAACATTCTGTTTTCTCCAGACTTCCCTGTTATAAACAGTGCTACAGTGAACATGCTTGTAGAGTTCCCTTTGGCCAGTACATGTGTGAAAATCTATGAACTTTATTTGAAGAAATGTCATTATTGAGACCATCTCAGAGAATGGGCATTTTCAGATTTATCTAAGTCTAGTCTCAAGAATGAAGATTATACTGTATGGTTATTTGAAAAATAGAAGTTCTCAGAAAATTATGGATACTGTTAATCCTTTTTCTTCTTTTTAAAAGTCATATATATTTCAGGTCATGTGGTGTCCAAAGGAAATTACACAAATTCTTCTATAGTTGTTTTTTTTAGGGGAGTGAAGTTTGAAGTATAAGGAAAGAGGAAGCCTCCTTCTGTTTCTATACTTCCTTTCTATCTTTTACACCATTTCTAAGTTTTATAAAGGGCATAGATTTTACAGTAAACTTTAGATTGTTGACCACTTTTTAAAAATGAGTCTCCTAGTTGCATTGGAGACCTGAGGGGAAGGGGCTACCCGGCCCCCTTTTGGCCAAGTATTTTTTTTTAATTTTTATTATTTATTTATGATAGAGAGAGAGAGAGGCAGAGACACAGGCAGAGGGAGAAGCAGGCTCCATGCACCGGGAGCCTGATGTGGGATTCGATCCCGGGTCTCCAGGATCGCGCCCTGGGCCAAAGGCAGGCACTAAACCTCTGCGCCACCCAGGGATCCCTTTTTTTTTTTTTTTTTTTTAATGTATAGATCCCCAGGAGGAGATTGCTGTGCTCTCCATGTTCCATATGGCTAATTCTGATTGACTTTCTTATGATAAATTTTCTACTTCTGAGTATTTTTTTTAATGTAGTGCCCTGGGTTTCAGTCCCAGATCTACATTAGATTTTTAACCATTTATTGCCCAAGACTATAGTTAGCAAGTAAGGGACTTGGGATTCCTATCTTACCTGACCATTGGAATTGCCTTTGATGAGAATGTGTTCACATGTGAATGGGTTGGAGATAGGCAGAAAACAGAGAACCACTAACCTTAATTAATTCAGCTCATTTAAAAAAAAAATTCAGCTCATTTAATTACAATATTATGTTGTATTAATTCAGGGAATCAGTTCCCACTTACACATATACTCATTTCATTATCCTTTAAATAGTTTAAAGTTAATATTTTAATGTTCACTGACTATCTGGGAAAAGGAATTACCTAACCCTAATGATACAGGAAAATAAATTGCTAAATTACTAATGGAATTTTTATTTAAAAAAAAAAACTAGTTGAGAATATAACTTTTCCAGCATGATGAGTAATCAGTATTAAGGTACCTGATTTTATAGAAGCTCTGGGCTGATTATAAATGCAATCATTAATCGTATCAACCTAGGTAATTTAATTGAAATGCCCTATAAACCTGTTCTTTACTTCTTTCCTTTCCATTCCCCCTCCTGCCCACAGGAAATTTTGAGCTTTTTTTGTGTTATTTTAACAGTGGAATAGTGAATGTAAGCATGCCATAAGCCTGACATAAAAGGACCACTGTGTTTCAGTAAGTTAGTATTTGATAGCTTGATCGGAAGGGATCTTTTTTTGGCACTGGTTGTTGAGTGACTTATCTGTCTTTTGTTTCTTTTAGTGATGAAGAACTCTCTCAGTATCTTTTACAACTGGTGCAAGTTTTAAAATATGAGCCTTTTCTTGATTGTGCCCTGTCTAGATTCCTATTAGAAAGAGCACTTGCTAATCGGAGGATAGGGCAGTTTCTATTTTGGCACCTTAGGTAAGTCTTTTTTATTTTTTAATTTGCGTCTACTTCGTGCTTTTGTAAATATAAATCAGAATAACATGCAACATTTAGTCTATCCGTCACCTGCTGTAGTTGTTTCTGAGCCATATATAACATTTACACGCTTTTTGGTGTCTTCTGTTTCTTCATACTCAACTCTTAATTTTCAGGATTTGGCAAAGTAATTCATATAAGTGTTCCACCAAGCCTCCTTGATATTTTAACTGAAACTAATAATGTATTGCTATTTTCTAGTCAGGTGTACTTATTGTGTACTTATAACATATTTGGGCTAAAATCAGATCTACGGACTCCTTTTGAAAGGCTTTGGTATTAATATCATTGCTACTAATAGGTAGAGGTTTCAAAGTTTTTGTTTAACAGCAGCAACATTTTCAACTGCTTTATTAGGTCATTTTCAGAAATATAGGAGTCTTATTTCAGTGAGTTTATATTGGGGTAAAATCAGGAAGGATAACTAAAATCCTTCTGTTTCTGGGGAAATTGTTGAATCCTCATTTCTGACTCTGTACTCACACTTTTTTGTCGTTTTCATCTGGACTTCAGAGTATTAAAATCAGTGATCGTCAGAAAAATATGACTTTTCCTCCATTTTAGGTAAACTTCTTAAGAAAAATAAGCTCTGTTTTTTTTATGTTAATTCTGGGGGTTACATTTCTGAATCTTGACTTCCTATTATTCATAGAGGTTTTTCCTTTCTTTTTTTTTAATTAGTCATCTTTTCATACAGTTCAATCTTCCTATTTTTAAGCCCCCCAAGGAATAACAAAACATGGTGTTCCTTCCTTTTTCAAACATATATGACATTCTTTAGGTGAAAAAAAAATTGTATAATTGAGGGTTTAGTCACTTGTATGATATGAGTCATATCTTTGTGTTTTACTTTATTGTCTTTTAATTGGCAGTATTGCCATTTCAACTGCGAAAACCAAATAAAGTAAGATATGAAAATTTTGGGTGTTTTGAATAAAAAAAATAACTAATTACAAAATCACACATGGTTTTGAACTATGGTGTTTAAAGACTTGGGGAGTTGACCATCCCACTAATAGTTTTGAACAAGATCATGTTTCTTCTGTTTTTTGATCAGTATTAAAAGTTTATTTGATAATAGAATATGAAGTTGGTATTTTTATTTGGTGATCTGAAGTGTTTTATAAACAACCCATCTTAATATTATTAACTTATTTGTAGGTCAGAAGTGCATATCCCTGCTGTCTCAATACAGTTTGGTGTCATCCTTGAAGCATACTGCCGGGGAAGCGTAGGGCACATGAAAGTGCTTTCCAAGCAGGTATCAAGTTTTTTTAATCTTCATGTTCAGTTTGCCACATTGTATTTGATAAATTGTATCATATGGTGTTTCTCATGTTACATTATTTCATAGAGGTTTCAGTAACTAAACCTTATAAATACATTTTTAAATTAAAATTTAAGTCAAGAAGTGAAGTGTCAACAAACTTGGAACATTGAGTGCTCCCCCCAAAATCACTGATTCCTCATAGTATCTGTATTAATAAACATGCCTTACATTTTAATAGGAAATACTTATTTAGACATGCTTAACAATGGGTTTGATGGTGATGGAGACAAAGGTCATGAAATTTTTAGACCCTGTTTTTTCATATCTCTGAGTTACTCTGTCCAGTTAGTATAGTATTTATGATTCATATATTCTGCATATGTTTTAGTTTCAGATATTTTGACACCTAAGTCCATTGTTGTTGTAGGATCTAGAATTCAGAATCCTCAAGCTGCTTTTTCAAACTATATATATAGAATATATATAGGCCTGCAGTCCCTTATCTTCTTTCCAGGTCTTCATTTTCTAATCATTGCAGGTGATGAGATATTAGTGATATTGATAGGTCAGATATCAAATGCTTATATGCAAGGAAACATAATGAGTGTCTTAAGTATATTACTTTACTCTCCTAATACTGCACCACAGTAGTTGCCAATACTGTCTGGATTTGACAAGGAGGAAAACAGAGGCTGTAAGAGATTAAGTAACTTGTCTATAATCCCACAACTGTTAAGTGACAGGAATAAGTTTTAAATTTAAGTCTGTCCAGGGCAGCCCCTGTGGCGCAGTGGTTTAGCGCCGCCTGCAGCCCAGGGCGTGATCCTGGAGACCCTGGATCGAGTCCCATGTCAGGCTCTCTGCATGGAGCCTGCTTCTCCCTCTGCCTGTGTCTCTGCCTCTCTCTCTCTCTCTGCATTTCTATGAATAAATAAATAAAATCTTTAAAAAATAAATAAATAAATTTAAGTCTGTCCAGCTATAAAACTTAACTTTTTTTTTATTACAGCAGGAGTTGTCACAACTTTTTAGCACCATAACTCTCTTTTATAAATCAAAACCTAAACATAGATCCACTATATAAAAGAGACAACAATGTAATTTTATCAGTATAATGGTGTTTTGAAACTAAAATAAAATATAAGCCATTAAACAGAACCATGAAGCTATTATACTAAATACAGAATTTCAAAATCTGGGACTATTATTAACAATTGTAGTTTCAGTATCCACTTATTTCTTTTGTTTTGGAGACAATCTTGATTTATACAGCTAAGTAATTGCAAATGACAATGGTTGTTTATTTAATTTTTTTAAAAAGATTTTATTTATTTATTCATGAGAGACACACACACACACACACAGAGAGAGGCAGAGACACAGGCAGAGGGAGAAGCAGGCTTCATCCAGATAGCCTGATGCAGTACTCAATCCCAGGACCCCAGGATCACTACCTGAGCCAAAGGCAGATGGTCAACCACTCAGCTACCCAGGTGTCCCAGTAATGGTTGTTTAATAGTTTGCTTGCAAGTGAGGAGCATAACCATGGCCCAGGATTGATTTGCTGGTCAGTCATTTGTTCCCTGAAGGTTGAACCATACACATACACTGAAGGTTGAAATGAGAGCATTTCTGGCATCAAAATAAAACAACCCTTTATTCTGGCTTCTTCATGTCAGCATCCTTCACTGACAGGTAGCAACAGTATGCTTTTGTTCTTTAACAGTAATTTTTCTTGAATTGACTATCCTCTAGATAAACAGAAGAAGGTTTTCTTAATGGTTTAGTATATATTTACTCATAATTTAGTATATGCCAGGGTTTGTGTTAGGTACTGGTAATGTGAAGTGAATATAGTTATGTTATTGTTATCAAGGAGTTTATATCCCATAGAGAAGGTGTGCAAATCAGTGATTAAGTGCTATGATAGAAGTGTTGTTAAGAGAATATTATGGAAGCACAAAAGAGAGGCATGTAACCAAACGTAGGACATTAGGGAAGAGTTCACAGTGAAGGTGACGCTTGAAGGTTTTGATGGTCTTAGATGGTGTTAGTTCAGTGAAGAGTGTATTAGTGTTTTACAGAGAAATAACCAGTAAGCGGTGTGTGTGTTTGTGTATGTGTATGGTTGACCCTTGAACAACCTAAATTTGAACAACATGTGTCCATTTATATATACACTGATTTTTTGATACAGTACAGTAAATTATTTTCTCTGTGGTTTTCTTTCTTTCTTTTTTTTTTTTTAAGATTTTATTTATTCATGAGAGACACAGAGATACAGAGAGAGACAGAGAGAGAGAGAGAAAGGCAGAGGCACAGGCAGAGGGAGAAGCAGGTTCCATGCAGGGAGCCTGATGTGAGACTCAATCCCAGGACTCCAGGATCATGCCCTGGGCTGAAGGTGGCGCTAAAGTCCTGAGCCACTGGGGCTGCCCTCTGTGATTTTCTTAATAACATTTTCTTTCTTCTAGCTTACTTTTTTTGTAAGAATATAATATATGATACAGATAATGTACAAAATATGTTAATTGACAGTTTATGTTACTGGTTAGGCTTCCCGTCAAAAGTAGGCTATTAGTAGTTAAGTTTTTGGGGAGTCAAAAGTTATATGCAGATTTTTGACTGCATGAGGCTGGAGGTAGAGTCAGTACCTATAACCCTTTATTCAAGGGTTAGCTGTATAGAGAGTGAAGCAGAAGAGGACGGTGATGTTGTGATTTATTATAAAGAATTGCTTCTGTGATTACAGAGGCTGAAAAGTCCTGAGATCTTCAATTAAGCAAACCAGGAGAACTGATGCTGAAGTTATAGTCTGAAAGCAGACAAGCTTAACACCGAAGGAGTTTTATTTAGTTCCAGGCAGGAAAAAAACCTGTGTGTAGCTCAAGGCAGTCAGACAGGCAGAGTTCCTTCTTAGTTGTTGGAAGGTCTACCTTTTTATTCTATTCAAACCTTAACAGGTTCTGATAAGATCCACTCATATTGGGAAGGGCAATCTGCTTCACTCAGTCTACCCATTCGAATGTTAATTTTATCCAAAAACACCCTTACAGACATACCTAGAATGATGCTGGACCAAATATTTGGGCACTCTGTGGCCCAGTCAAGTTGATACCTAAAACTAACCATCACAGATCAACTTGGCATGTATACACAGCTCTGAAAACCATATTTAATTTCTAAATAAAGACTCAAGTTCAGAATTACCCCTAAGATGATAAAATTACCCAGTACAATAAAAAATACACTAAGCTCTTTCCCAGAACAGGAGGTAATATCCTTGAATGGTGTCTACTTTTCTCCTTGTTTCTCTGTAAATTAAATGGTATGATGTAAAATTAACACTTAAATACTATGATATAAAGCCAGTATAAAGTCAGTACATCTTATGTTATATGATAAAGGAAAAGAGTGGGAAGGAAACAAAGACTCTCTGTGTGTACATATGGCATGCGCATACACACACACAAACATATGCATACCAAAACAAGGAGGAGATACTCATAATAGTTAATCCCATTTCTGTAACCAGTCGTGTGGTCATAGCTGGTATTGATTACTACGTTCTTCCAACCCATTCTGTATTCCCTCTGCCTTTAGTAATAAGCATTTCACTGGTGTTTCTTGACCTGCTCGGTTGACCCAAACCTTCATTCTTTTTTTTTTTTTCTTTAAAGATTTTATATGGCGGGGGCTGGGGGTGGTGGTGTGCCGAGGCAGAAAGGGAGAAGGATAAGCATGCTCTTGGATAAGCACGGGGCTCCATCCCAGGGCCCTGAGATCAAGACTGAGCCAGAATTAGCTCCATAACCAACTGAGCCTCCCAAGGAGCCCTCCAAACCTTCATTCTTTTTTTTTCCCCCCCAAACCTTCATTCTTGAAGGGTCCAGGTCATTAGTAGTCCTACCTAAGTTAGCTTGTAATTGTCCATTGGTCTTAATCACAGGACTTGGATATACTAAGAAAAGATCTCCTTTATTCTAGACATACTCCTCCTTATATCTATGGAGTAGTAGGCCAATTTCCCCTTGGTATTCAGGATCAGTCACTTCAGTCAGTATCATAATGCCCTTCTTCTCCTTATTTTTTTTTTAAAGATTTTATTTATTTATTCATGAGAGGCAGAGACACAGGCAGAGGGAGAAGCAGGCTCCATGCAGTCCCTGATGTGGGACTCAATCCCGGATCCTGGGATCACACCCTGAGCCGAAGGCAGATGCTCAACCACTGAGCCACCCAGGCGACCCTCATAATGCCCTTCTTTACCTGTTGATTCAAAGATATAAGGAGCTTAGAGTGGTTGGAGTCTTCCAGTTCAGTAGAATCATTGCCATGTCTCCCATTGGAATCATTCTTTCTTTCTTCTGAAACTAAGACCTCTGTGCCAGTAAAGCATGAGGGTACAGGAAAAGAAAGCAAAAATTTTGCTAGTGAGTTACTAAGGGGTAATGGCAAATGGTACCACTTCCATTTTTAAACCTTGATTTCATGACCATTGAGTCCTGGGAATAAGAGTGTCATATATTAGATGCTGACTCAGAGCGTATATAGTTTTCTGGAGAACTTTGACCAAGTCCTGAAAGGTATTGCCACCTAGTTGGTAGTATAAGTTAGTCTTCAAAAGGCCATTCCACTCTTCTCTCAAGCTAGCTATTCAGATTAATAGGGAACATGGTAAGACTAGTGAAAACCATGAGCATGCCCCTGTTGTTACACTTCATTTGCTATGGAATGAGTTTCTTGATCAGAAGCAATGCTGTGTGGAATACCATGATGGTGGATAAAGTGTCCTGTGATTCCACCAATGGTAGTTTGGCAGAAACATTGCATGCGAGGAAGGTAAATCCATATCCAAAGTTAAAGTGTCTGTTCCAGTAAGAATAAAATATTGCCCCTTCCATAGTGGAAGCAGTCTAGTGTAATCATCCTATCACCAGATAGTTGGCTGTCCATCCCAGGTAAGTGGTGCTATATCGGGATCTCAGTAT